TCACCCACTCTATATCCAGAAACATAGCCTATAGCTGCAGATGAAAAGCCTATTTGATACATCCACAATCATAACATACATGTCCTTTTTTATAGTGAAATGAAAAGTAATCGGTTCCATGATCAGTCTTGAGAGAAATACTAACAACACAAGTCACTGCTAAACTGGTTTCCGGTACTTCAAACATCATTAGAAAAGAAGAGAAAATGACATAAATAACCTGATGCCCCAAGATTATTCTTTCTATTGTGTGCTTACAGGCCATACATATTTCAAAGTGCACTAAGAAGGGCTTCCCCGCTAAGTTATTCATATAATTCAATCAATGAACTAGACGGGAACACAATAAAACCTATGAAAATATCAAGTAATTTTAATGAATACAGTGAATTACAAAAGCACCTCAAAGCAAGAGTCAATTCCCATCAAATATGTAACTCTTTCCCTGCTAACTGCATCCCGCGTCCTTGTTATTACTTCGTTTCTCTTTTATAGGAAAAAACCATGATTGAAACTCCATATATGCAAAGTACTCTCAGAAATAGCTTTGTCAAGATTCAGGAATTTCAGCGAACCCTAAACCGAAACTATTGAGCCTAAATCTCGATTTATTTCCGCCAATCAATTAGCCGCTAACATTTCCCGTGAAAATAAGTTCACTCAAATTGAGATAAACAAGAATAGTAGAGCATTACAACCCTGGATGATCGCATATATAAAAAAACGTACATGTACGACAAGAGACAGAGAACTTACGATCTCGTCCACCGCGAACGCCACCTCTGGTAGGATGATACATAATTTCCTCGGAAGTCTTTCAAGGATGTAGGACGAGGAAGGAAGGATGTAGGACGAGGAAAACCGGATTATAGTCTCGAATCTAGAGTAAAACTCAAAGAAAGAAGTTAGACCTTGGAATTGACTTGGTATTTAGGAGAAAAAACCTCCGAAACCTTTGCCAAATTGCAAAAGTAGTCCTTATTTTTTATTATTTACAAATGTGTCTTTAAATCTTTACTTATTATAATTAAATGCCTAAAATTTCATTTTCTTCTAAATTAATCCGTCAATTTATTTATGTATTGAAATAAACATAACTTTTTACATATTGTCACATATACAATTATGTCATCAAAAATTAATAACATAAATGTTATTAATATTTTTATTTTAAATTTTGTCAAATTTATATATAAAAAAAAAAAGCTAAAACAAAAACAATGAAGAAGAATTGATAATTCAAGATTGCAGCTGCTTAAATTCTTTGTAAATTTAAAAAATTCTTTATACATATAATTTAATAAATAATGATCAAGTTTTAAATTTAAAAAGACAGAACATTATAGTTTTTCCTATTTTGCATCATGTTATTTCTATTACTGTCATAAACTAATAATTTATGATGGCTTGCGATAAAATTTTTAGATGTTCATTTTCTACCATCATCCCTTCATATGAATTTCATCGTATTTTTCAGTATAAATTATATCAGCAGTTCTGCTTTTTTCCTTCTTAAGTTGCAGCTCATTCACTAGCCACTTCGACATTCTCATGATGCCTTAGTTCTGATTGTCTCCTGAAGAAATTTTCTTACTGAGATTTAAACTTCAATTAAATTCGTTAATATATTATAATTCGTCAATATATTTTAGTCATTAATACCCAAATACACTTTTGTAGCCTCCACATTTTAGTAATTAATGCCTGAATGTATTTTTGAAGCCTCAGAATGCTCGCATGCATATTTTCTTTCTTTTCTCATTTCTTTAATCTTGTGCTTCATGATAAAATTGTACAACTCACTACTCTGTCAAATTCTTCTCAAACCATTCTCCAATGATGGATATTTCCAAATCTCAAATGGTTCGTGCAATTTTTGGTTTTGCATTTCCCAATTGAATACTTAAACAACCTCGGTAACTAATGCATTTTTTTGAAGTGAAACCAGCATGAATTTGTAAATATATTTAGTTAAAAAAAATCCTATGCGTTCCTAAACTATTAACTAAACGAACAAGATGAAGATGAAAGGGCAATGGAACCGCAGAAGTGTCCTGATATGTGTAAGGATAAATACAAAAATTGACAAACTCCTGTTTAATCAAGAGAGTGAACAGTGGCAGAGAAATTGTATAATCTACTAAGAAATATAAAGTTATATCTCAATTTAAATAACTAATTTCCTGTATCATGCACAAAACAGGGAGGATATTGTACTTCCACCAGATTCTACTTGGTGAAGGTTGTACTACATTGCACAATGCTAGATTCTCTCCACTAAGTAATCAATTAAATAACATTTATTATACTAAAGAATGGAAGTGACCACCCAATAATCAAGATAAACAAAACTCTTGGGCCCGAAGGCAAAAAGCTCTTCTTCCATCTTAGGCCTATTAAGTTGCTTTGTCATTGAGCTGGGCGAAGAACCAAAACTTGTTTACACGGTTTAGATGGCAAGAAAGATGACATACAGTTAATCCTCCTCCATTGGGACATCTGGGATATCAAATCTGTCTTCTTCAATAGTCTTATTAATCACTGAAACTGGGGATGGTAATGGCAAATCAAGGAAAACAAGGGTATGAGAAAAAGAGCACCATTATGTACCAGTAGCTTTATGGTTTGATACAATTCAAATATTTCAATAATAAAATTTGAATTACAAAAACTTACTTATGCCTCATAATAGAAGCAATCAAATTTTTTTTTTGAAATAAATAATAGAAGCAATCAATTAAAACATTTAAATGTAGGTCTAGCACATATCAATCTCAGTTATGCAACAAGTCTAGTTGTAAGTATAAACCATAAGTTCTAACTTTTTGAAATTAGTGTGTGGGTGCATAGTAGTAGCCTGATAATTGGATAAACTATTAACAATAGTAGATCTTATTAATATAATAGCATAAAAGCATTCGAGGAACGAGACTTTTTAGATAACTAAGACTATGTTAGGAACAAATATAAATTGATGTAATTAGGAAGACAGTGGACCAATTCCACATGAAATTCTATTTAAGTCCAGCTTCTATCATCTCCTTAAAAGAAATATGAATCTACAAATGAATTCTTGATGCAATTAATAATAAATTGTTTCAATTTCCAATTGAATCCCATATGAGCTCAATTGTTGTTATTTCAAATTTGATTTTCGTTATTTTCTAACTCAAATAATGTATATATGCAAATAAACTTTTACATATTTTTTTATTTCTTCCAGACATAGCCTAAGCTACAAGAATATAAATTCTTTTTTGATTTCTGAAGGAAAAAAATTTTATCCTGCTTCAGAACAGGCATTCTTTCCTATCTTTTCCTATCAGATCTTTGAAAAGTCACGATCATGTAACACAAACAGGCATTAGCTGTCCAAGAAGAAAGAAAGACAAAATCACAGAGCAAGAGAAGCTATAGCAGAATAAATTTTTTCTAAAAAGGATATTTATCAGCATAAGATCATCCTCCTTCTCCCCGCGATTACGGCTGTTATCTAGCTCCCTGATAATTTCAGGAGTCACCTGTGAAAACAGAAAGATCAAAATCACATTCTGAGAGAAAGCTAGATAGGGAAACTAGAGAACAAGCACTTAAGGTAAAAAATGATCATACTAATTTATGCTTCTGCTTTTCAAGCAGCCTTCTAAAGTGTCTTTGTCTTCCTTCTGCAACTCATTCTTATACCTACAAAAATCTCAAGACAGCAACAGTTTATGGAAGGTAAAATCCCACCACTTGGACTAAAAAGTATCACATATAACATATTTCATTTCAGTCATATGGCAGTCAGATCTTAAGGCAACCAGCTTCTAGTTTGAAAAATTATGCTAGCGAGCTAATCACTAAAATCCATGTCCCTCAAAATAGTAGCGAACAAGAAAGGAAAATAGATCCAGCATCTGGAAAGAGAAAGAAGCACTATAGTGGTTCCTAGTCAAACAATGAAACCCAGAAAAAAAGGCACACCATCTTTACCACCCTCCCCCTCCTCTCTTGCCCTCTCATATGTTATACATGGACCTATGAAAGACAAGAAATGTAAATAACTGGGCAACATAAAAGTGTAATGCTCATATTATAAAAATTGAACAGTATTTATACATAAAAACAAAAGTTGAAGTGATATTTTTTTAGATAAAACAAAAGTTGAGGTGATTTTTTTTTTTTGAGATAAAACAAAAGTTGAGGTGATGTTGCACACGAGGCAAGAAAAGCTTCTACAGTGAAATGTACCTTTGGATAAAGGCAAGTAGTGACTGGTGCCATATTACTGGCATTACTCTTGTCTCATCCATAAATCTCAAGAAATGAGCAATCACTGCATCAACCACACGATATGGCAAAGCATATTTCTTCTCCACAAGAAGCTTTATGAAGTAACTGTAATAATTATCCAAGGGACCTCATTAAGTAACTTGTTAGAGCATGTTTTTGCAAAAAAAATTGATTATAATATTTATTTTAATATTTATAAAAAAGGCACTCGAACAGCCCCTCAGATATAAGGCAAAATGTCAGATCCACAAATCCAAGAGATTAATATACTTGTAGTACTGCAAATCAACTCCTTCACTCTCCACCAACAAAAAAGAAAAACTTTTAAACAAAATTGTTACCACCACCTTCAGCATAAGCCTGTATAATCTCTTCTAATATATGGTGGAGCTACCTCATCGGCAGCTCCCAAGCCTGAAAGATATGATACTCAAGCTGACTCCACTCAAATAAACTTATTAACAATGCAGTTCCTTTTTTTTTCCATATTTTCTCTTTCTGACTGTTGTGAGAAAATAAGGGGAGAAACTGAAAATATGAAACAGCTTTTAAGTTACCTTGTTGTGCCACAATATTCCATCTCTGCAAGCTTCATTAATGCAACACTGCAATTTTATTTGAGAATTAGATCCCTCCAATAAGGACTATTTTGAAGAAAATAAAACCATAAAATTCTAGAAGCTTATCAATGAAACATACATGTTTTGCTTAAGAAATAAATACTCATGAAACATACATAACATGACAACTTCTTGTTGTAAAAAATAAAATTTCTCTCTTAGTTATTGTTTATTTAGTACCCAGAAATGTTAAGGCCGGTAACATAAACATCAATTGCAACAAGAAGGCTGGGCAGATCTTGGTTTGACAAACTTGCATGGAGGTCTTAGATTGGTATCAATATAGGAGAAAGAAACAATAATAAAACCTCCCCCAAAAGAGAAAAAAATAGAGATAAGCAAACATCTTCTACAAACATATTCAAACAATACACATATAATTGCCCAAAGAACCACTATAAGTTAAGTATCAATTAAATAGCTTAGAAGTAAATTTTCTCCACCTTATGCGTTTCCTGAGGAAATACACTAAGGGAAATAGCACTACTAGGAGCTATTTCACAGTTACCCTTTTTTTTTTTAAAATAATATTTCACATCTACCCATTATTTATGGCAAGGCACTATCTTCTTTTTTTTTTTTGAAATAAAAGTATAGAAATATATTATTATAAGCATCTAGGGGGTGCAACCCATGTACAAAATTTACAGCTCATTCATCATGAGATAAAAATGGTAAAAATCATTCATAACCACTGTAGAACAACCCATCAACGAAAACTTCAGGGTTCTAAATTATCTATTTTCCAAAATATCAAAACCTTTACAATTATCTACTCCTCCAAAAGCTCAACTATTCCTCTCCTTCCATACCGTCCAAAGGATGGTGAGTGGGATAACTTCAGCTATCTTCTTTATGTGCAAAGTACTAAAGGCACAAGGCAAATCTGGTTTTGAAGACCAGTCATAAGGCAGAACGAGGAGGCACATAACTACATAATCTGATGTAAACATGGTGCATGAATAATAAAATGTTGATATGCACATAAAACAACCAACATCAACCAATTTCATAAAACATCAACTCTCAAAAAATTATTAGAGATATTTATATTCAATTTAGGCTTTAAATGTTCTGGTACTGATATCTCTTTATCTTGCAACAATAACAAACATAAGGTCCAAATGCTTGTTCCCAATCCAGTAGTCCAACATAGCAGTCATAGATAGCTAGACCTTTTATTATAACCAAAGTGAAGTTCAGGATAAACATTACTAAGAATAGCTTACCTTGAATGAAGCATAGGAATGGAGACTTTCTGGATAATGCTTCCAATAATGACAGCTTCCCTTAAACTGCATGTTCTTGACTGCATATTGACCATTGGGAATTAATAAGTTTCTTAGAGATACTAAATGATATAAGGTTGAGAAAAAGTCTTAATGATCCTACTATTCAAATTCAAATTTTAATGAAAAAATGGAATATGATGCATGGTAGAGACGTCTAAAAAACATAAAACAAAGATTAATAACAACAATAACTTATTATGATAGTTTTATCATCCACATGGTCTCTACAGAGTTTCAATTACACATGCACATACATATTACATGCATATAAGGAACCTCTGAAGCAGCAAAAGAAAAAAAAAAGCCACAAAACAAACGTCTTCCTAATAATACAGCAACAATTTGTTTTCTTTTAGGTACTCAACCTCTCCCAACCATGAACTTTGAAACAAAACAATTTTTTTTTTTCAAATAGAACACATTAATCCCTATAAAGCGAAACACTTTGAAATCAGAACCTCACACATATATCTTTTACAGACATGGCAGTTTTTCTGAAAGGATATGCCAATTAATACCAGATGCACTAGAACAAATTGTAGCTTAAGTTTGTAAGATCTGCAGAATTAGCTCAGGTTCATGTGAGCAGACAGACACCTATTGCTTGTATATCAAGAAGTTTATTCTGAGAGGAAAATTCATACTTTACATAATGGAAACAGTATCCCCTTGTTGAATGCAGCAGGTTTATATAGTGCCTTCTTCAAGGTTTGATATAGAGAAAAATGCAGTTTCTTGTTCTTCCTTATATCATCTCTGACTCGAGGAAGCAAGACAAGCTTATAAAAGCGTTCAGCCTTCTTCGCGTTCAAATTGGAAGCAAATATTCTTGTGGCTTGATACATTGCATTTGGTGACCAATTTTCTGGTTCAGTTAGGTATAGAACATCCTCCCAAAGTTGCATCGAAGGAATGTGCTTAAATGCTTTGGGCATTTTTCCTGCCGTGTATTTATTAAGAAACTTGCCCAGTCTGCATATTTTTCAAAGATTGCCCAAGTTAAATTTGTCATACAGTAAATTTGGAAAATGGAAAACATGATTCTTGTTAATTTCGATAATCTAATTGTAGGAACAGGCTTCATGCGCAAAAATACTAGAAAAGTACACGCATGCATCCATGTGATTTTTAACTCAAAAAAGGAATGAGAATAGTGAAATTACCCCTTGTACAACTCTATGAGTGAGTTATCCAATTTAGGCACTGGTCGTGCTTCTGCAATCAACAATAATAAATTAATTTTATTTTTTAAAGATAACTATCAAACAGAAAAATTTATAAATATGTTTTGAACTTTAATTAGTCTCTAGACCTATCTTCCAACTGCATCTTTTAAGACATCAAATTCTTAAATGTCTTAGTTACCAACGATCATGGATTCCAATGCACAAGATTTTGTAGCACTCACCAATGAGGCCCTATCGACTAGTATTACACAGAAAAAATCAATTATAAAACCCTGGGATTTGCTCATCCAGGTAAGCTCAGTTCAGGATCATTAGATCTTTCTCTATCATATAGGAAGGACTGGTGAAACTCATATTTTGATGTAATTTGCAGAGAGAGAGAGAATAACAGCCTTAGTCTGGGATGTATAAAAAGTGCAAATTCCAATGTATGAACGTAAGACATGCTGGTCGAATAAAAATTTTAGAACATTGTATAACACAAACCTGAAGAAACATTTGCATCTTTTTCTTTAATTTTCTCGATAATGATATCTGCAAGTGTCCGTTGTTGACCAGCATCCTTTGATAAGAATGCCTCTAGCAACTTCTCCTCATCTTCGTCAATCTCCTCCTGTGTGTTTAGGAAGTAACAACCAAATGGAAATTCCATAACTACCCATCATCCGACCAAAAAAGGGCAGAAAAATTTTAAATTCAAATTGGTCCTTTCCTGGCACCCTTTTATTCTCTCAAAATTAGTAATGGATCGTTCGAGCTATTTCTCCCTCAAATATTTTTTTTCAAAATAAATTTCTCCCTTAAATATGTAAGAACTAAACACTATAAGTGTACTATGTTTATGAAATCCATTTGGCTCACTATAATGCTAACTTAGAGATCAACTAGAAAAAAAAAAGCTGTCCAAAAGTATTTTCTTGATAATTTCCGCAGAAAACGAACATAAATCCAAACCAAAACAAAGCATTAATACAATTTTAATTTCCTTCCTGTGTTCTCTTAACACCCGTTTGAGAGTTAAATAATTTGTATACGTTTATTGCCTGTAACTTCTCAACAACTAAACATCAAAATAAAGACAATAAATAAATTTGGTGATAAATGAAACTCAAACTCAAACTTTGTTTAGCGAAAAATGGAACTCACTTCACAACCGCCAAATTGGCTTTGAGTCTCGGAGAATCCACCAAAATCGTCGAGATTATCTTCTTCTTCTTGCTTATTCCTTTCCTCTTCTGCTATTGCGGCAAAGGCGAATGCATTCTTAGGGTTTTGCTCTTCAGCTTCCTCTTCTATCTCCTTTTGTTGAGCCAAGGCTTCCTTCAAGATTTTCGAGCTAATACCAGAGGAAATTAACTATAATACCAAAACCAACAACATAACCGTTAAACATAACCCCTGAAGAGAAGGAGGAAGGGATAATAAACAAATTTTGCACTTGCAAATACAAATAGGCAGAAAGATAACACCTTCTCTTGCTTTTGGTGGTGTTTGGGAGCTTTGGATCGCTTCTTGGATGACGCAATCGAATCGTCATCTACGAGGAACGGCTGGGGATTTTGAATCCGATTGCGCTTCTTTCCCATTGATGAATTCACAGAAACTCGAGATGGTCGGACCGTTTATTATCCTGGTGGCGGTGGATGATTCTTAGCTTAATCGGTGGAAAGCTGTGACCGGTAAACGAGAAGAAGCACGAATTTCTCTGAGCGCGTGAGCAGAGCAGAGTGCCGAGAAGCAGTCGGCTTGGGGACTTTCTTAGGGTTTAGGGAGAGACAGAGAGACTGAGGGTTTTCTTTTGTGCGAAGTAGGGAATCATTTTTGGCATGTCCGAATTTAATTTCTTAAAATTGATTTTAATAAAATAGAACTACATACTTTGTCCTTAATCTAATTTTTAGAATGTTATTTTAATTTTTTTTTAAGAAATATTTTATTAATTTCTTACTATTTTTTAAGACTATATCTGAAATATTACATTAATTTTGATTTTTCATAGTCCTATTTGGAAGATAAGTATTTTAATTCATATGTTTCCAAAATAATTTAAGTAAGCATTGCAAGTATAGCGAGTCACAATGAATTTTTATTACTCTTAAACATATTTTAAAATTTTAATTCAGTATTTTGGTTTAAAAAATTAGTTCAATATTTACTACTATAGCACTTAAAAAATTATATATGATTCAATTATACAAAGTATGTTTTGGAAAACAATTGATTTAAGAATTGAATAGTAGTGAAATATTTATTAGTAAGCGTCTACTATATAACACTCTTATAATTAAAAAGTAATAATTTGAAGGCTTTCAGAAATGATAACTAACTACTCATTAGATAATTTTTAGACTAATAAAGCAATTGAAGAAAGAATAAAAAGAGTTAGAATTATTTTGAGTTGCTCTTAATAAAAACATGTAAAGAATAATAAAAAGATAATATTACTTTTTATACAGAATCCAACTTATTATGTGCATGAAAGAAGTGTTGATATTTGGAATTAGTTTGTAGGAACATATGATAGATTAACTCTATCAAATAAGTCAACCACAATTAAATAGAAGAGATATGAAGTTTGAAGAATGTCTTTATTTATGCTGTATTTGGTTAATAGATCATGAATGTGCAATATGGTAATTCACTAGATTTATCTTATTTGAATCACTTCTAAATAGATGGTATGGTTGGTTGGATAGTTTTTATTAGTAGATTATTTCTCTATTTTTTTCACATTTTTCAAACTACTGATTTCGTAGTTTTTAATGGTTGATAATTTTTCTTTCCGTTTTACTCTCACAATTATTTATTAATTTATGTTTTACCTTAAATCTAAATTTTGTTTTTCTTATACCTAAACCTACTATTCTTTCTTTATCGCCGCTTGTTTCATCTCTTCTCATCTACTTCTACTTCTATATTCTACTTCCATATTTTGCTCCTATTTCTGCTTCTGCTTGCTTCTCCTCTTACCTTTATTATGCTTCTGCTTATTGCGAGAGTCTCCACCGGTGTTAACTTGCTTCACCAAACACAGCATCAATCAAGGTATGTACTTATTCAATTTTCTTTTTGATGAAAATGGTTTTATAATTATTTCAAAATGTGTCTATCTGATCAATGAAGCATGGTTTTGTACCCATTTTATTACCTAACCTGTTCAGTCCTCTGCATAAAAACCTGAATTGAGACTTGTTACTAGGAACAGAGCATATGCATACTTACTAAACTCTCCCGTATTAGCAAGACCTATAATTTTAGAATGTGGACCATTAAAACAGTTTTCCAACTAGTTTATAGTCAGTTCTCTCTCGCTCTTTCTCTCTCTCTCTCTATATATATATTGTTCCAATCTTAATCAACTTTACCTCTTCTATTTGAGAGATGACATGATATTACTCCTGTTTGTCTGGTATTCCAAGTTAATATGGATATTGTGGATGTTGAAAAAAATTTCATGAGGATTTATACATTTTTGTATTACATGATATTCACATCTCAAAAAAACATGAAAGGTGTAACAAATGTCAGTAAAGTAGAAAAAGATACCGATATGTGTGTGTGTTTATGTATATATGTAAGAAAACCATACAAACAACTAAATCAGTTTATCTCAGGTTAAAATTAAAGAGTTGTACATGAGGGAGAAAGTTACTCCCTTGATATATACTTCATAGACCTGATTAGGAAAGAAAAGGTAAAAAAAAAAAAGAGCAAAGAAGCAGTAATGAGATGATTCAAAATTAGGGGTAATAA